ATATATAAATAAATAAATAAATTGATATATAAACCTGACCTTTTTATCTTAAAGTTTTCTTAAAAACTTATAAGATCAGATTGCAAAAATTCCTTTCAAATTTTGATTGAATATTCAATATAATTACTATATATTTAATTCTAAATTAAAAATTTTTGAATTGCTGTATTTCACTGACTAAACCTAAACCCTGTAATGGGAATTTAATATTATCATTACAAGTAACTCTTGACATAAGAAATCTTTGATATAAGAAACCCTCAATATAAGAGATTTTGCAAGTCCCAATTAAAATTCTATAATAAAAATCTCTTGATGTAAGAAAATCTGATATAAGAAAGGTTTTGACTGACCCAGTAATTTTTTTATATCAAGATTCACTTGTATATTGGTGCAATTTCTCATTCCTCCCACTTCGCGTTCCTTTTTTTCTTTTTGCTATAAAGAAAAAAAAAGTAACAGCGAAGAAACTAAAAACTGGTCAAATTGGTCTTTATACTATAATATATGAGTAGTTTTTCTTTTAAGAAAATGATACGGTTAGATAGTTACATGCTTATAACCTGATATACTCGTATAAGCATAAAATAACGTGTAGGGGTGTTATTTTAAATAATGGCCTAAATTAGGTTTAATTTAGGCCAAAATTCAAAATTCACCCCTGCGTATTATTTTGCACTTATATAGTACTTTGTTGCTTATAACAATGCTTAATTTCTAACAAACTTCAAATATTCCCTCTTACAAACCAAACAGCTATACAATCTAATTACTAATCTTAACAGCTTTCAAATACACCCCTTTTTAAACAAACCCTTCATATTTTCTACACTATCTGGACTTATACTCTTTAATATCACACAAACTATATAGAAATTTACTACATCAAACCAAATAGCCAATTCAATCACAATACAACTCCTTCTCACATCAATAAGCAACTATATACAAAATATCTGAATTCTTTATTGCAGCTCAAGACCCTCACCTCAACCTCTACCTTCACAAGCACCTTTATCACCTGAATTCTTATACAATATACATCCCTACACAGCTACCCCTAATAATACCAAACAAGCATCTACACTCAAAGTATCATCTTGATACTCTAACTGGATTAAATACCGTATGCACTCTTTATATATACTTAATTTATCTGAAATCTAGGTGAGCCTTGGCCACTAAGGTAGGTTTAGGCCGCAGATAAAACACTAAGTTGGCTTTTATTAAGCACTTAGTTAGTCTGAGTTCTTATTCTTAGTACTCGACTTAAATACAAAACCTTTTCCATATAAAAAGTTTTCATTAAGTTTAATAAAGATAAGTAATTAAAAATTTATAGCAAGTGATTATCGAAGTATCAAAATTTTAAAGAAAAAAAAAACCTGCATGTGTGCGAAATATCAAAAAGAGGAGTATTGAAATAAAAATTATTTATGATATAATTCTCCTCTATAAAACATATATAAGATGTAGGTTTTTTTTTTTTTGCTTTCTAATATTGTACTGTAAAATCTTAAAATTATTTTAAAAGAATCATTCGTTAATTATTAGTAAATTCATCTATAAATACTTAGAAATATCCCTTTACTGAGATTTTAAGATATTGATTTAAATAATTATAATATCTTTCACGTTTTGTTTTATTGTTTTCATATCGATACTATTTTGTAGTATTCAATGGGGCATAAACCATTATCTGTCAGGAGACTATTCGTTAAAATTGAACAGTATTAAGAGTAACTATTGTTCGTTGATTAGGAATATGATGTCAATAATTTTCGGCGATAAAAAAGAAATCCTGCAGCCTTTATTTTGCTAATATTTGTACACAGACAACATACTATGATATTTTAATAGGCAAGTTTCACACGCGTTTTTTTCCTCATAATATGCAATAAGCCTATGTTCAGAAGTCTGATTCATCTATTCATTTATCCGAACAAAAATCATCAATCTGCCGAAGAAACCGGATAAGGTGGATAAAAATAAAACCCGTAATATCGTGAACTATCAGGAGCAGCCGGATAAATAGTATTATCTATTCCGAGCTCGTAGCTAAAAAAAGGAATATCTTGATTACTAGTATGGGCAAATCGCGGATTTCCACAAATCACGCGAGTGATCCGCGCGTTATTCGCGGGATAGATAATCAATCAACAAATTTCTCTTATTTTCGGAATATTGTGGAATGACGGTTAAAATTTACCGGAATATTTCGGGTTACTAGCAGCATTCGTATCAGTGATAATTTTTCACTGTGCGGACTGTGCGCAGCACACAGAAACAAAATTTTGCGCACACTTTTTTTGAATAGATGCGCGGATGCCGCACAGAAAAATTGGCATTTTGCAAGTAGTGCGCACAGTTGCAAATAGCTTCTCGTGTTTCTTTTTTTATTTGCCGCACAGAAAGATCTATAAATTGTGCGGCATCTGCACAGTAAATTTTAATTGAAAAATTAACACTGATTCGTATTATACTACGTATTCCACGCGGGATTCCACGCGTTGCCATCACTATTGATTACACATGAAATGCTACTTAACCAAATGAAGGACTTAAGTTCAAAAGTTCCAATATTAGCATAATACAAAAAAAAGAAAAAATTTTTTTTTGATGATATACTATATTAGGATTCAGAATGTTCTTGAGCAAAAAGATAAATCACTTCTTTTATGTAATAAAACCAATACAGTAATAATAATTATCGTTTAGGTCATTTCCACCTAACTGCTATATAAGATTTAAAGTGACAAACTTAACATAATTTACTACGTTTGAATAACAAGTAAAGGTTTTTTCCGATATATAAGAGAGTTATTCAAATAAGGAATAACAACCTCTTCCTGGAAATAATCTAACTCAATAGACATCTATATTAAGAATGAATTTGTAAATCAAAACGATCAAATTTAAACATAGTAATGATAATAGATTACTGTAGTATTGAACTTACGTGACGACCTTCACAATCCTTAAATACTATTCTTCCAAACTCATCTAATGTTCTTAATCCAATCCAATCTTCTTTGTACAACTTTTGTTCACGAAGAGGTACAAGATTTCCTTCTTCATCATAGAATGAGAACCACTATAAACAAAATTAGTACATATATGTTAATATATATTACAATTAAAATTAATAATTGAAATATAACTTGAGGCTAGGGATGATCACGGCTCAATGAACCGTTATTCGAATCGAGCCAGCTCATTTCGAGTTGAGTAGACACCACTCATTTCTGATCGAAGGTCGAATCGACTAGCCGTTTCTCAATGTATAAGAGATCATATAAATGAGTATGATTAGACTAGATTTTGAGAGATTGATTGATTTGGAAATTTCAGTCAATTAAATTAAAAATCGACGTAGTGGAATTGTCGGGAGCAAATATAAGATTTGATAGTTTATGAGAGCAATTCAATTAGGAGATTCTTAGAATTGATTCTAACAGATTTGACTCACTAGAATTGAGCCGATTCGGGTCATGATCATCCCTACTTACAGCGGTATCTCCTGGTTTAAGAGTTGTGTCTTCAGTGAATCTAATCAACACGAGTTTATTAAGTGTCACCAGATTCTCTTTATAAGTCACATTCTTGATTTCAAGTTCATTATTGATATCCGGCAAAAATATATTTTTTTTGAGATAGATGTCAAGCCTCTTTGGATCTTTAAAGTATTGTGCTTGAATTATATGATTCCGTACGTATCCTGAATAAGCACCTTGTCTAGCTATTGATCGCATTAATCTACACCAC